AAGCCACACTGCTAAGTCCGAAACCGCTGTCGCAGTGCCATCTACATAGAACAGACTTCAGAACACTCTGAACTGTAGCTGGAGACAGCTGTCTCCAAGACATGTCGTGGACCGGCATATTGAACCAGAGAAAGCCCTCGCAAGAACAGGGTTAAGGCTTGTTTGCCAGTATGCCGGAACAAGCTGCCAGCAGGGTGGCGAAGGTGACCCAGAAATGTACGAGGCGCTCGTCCTCGTCCTTGCTCGCCAGCCGAATATGAAGACCCTACATACATGAACCCAACAAAAGCATAAGCCTATAAACCTTAGACTACTGTATAGATTACGAACAGTGGGCCTGCAAACCCCAGCACCAAAATCCACAGTTTGAAGTCTGTATGAGCAGTGAACAACGCCCTAAGTATCGTATAACCGTCAACCACAGTGCCCGCACTAGTTTGCACTGTACCTCTTTGATATCAAAGCTGTACGGTTTGAGGTTGAGGAAGGCCTACCAAGTTTGAAGCTGCTACGTACCCCCAAAGAGTTAATGGGATGTTCTTGCTTGAAGTCCTTGCTCACTCTTGTCAGAGCTACCCCATGGGAATCACAACTTCGGAGGTTAGGCTCTACATGGATGCAAGGGTCAGGGTTAAGGAAACTAAAACCAGCCTGACACAGTGGGGCCTACGAAGAACTGCGAACGTATTAAAGTCAGAAAGTTCACCAGGAATGACCCATTGATATTGAACCGCCAATTCTGTCTGGACCACAGGAATCGGGATCTAAGGCATAATAACACTAGCTGAAGCCTTCGCAAATACTTCAAACCTCACTAGTACAGTAGTGTAGAAGTAACCATAATAATGACAGGAGAAGCAATAACAGTAATAGTAATAATCGTCATGATAACAAGAATAATCATCATAAGTGATCACCGTTACACATCAACAAATAGTCGTAAGCCCAGCTTCCGGGTGCGCAGGATCCACCCAACAGTTCTTCTCCTCTGCCAGCATTGGCACCAGGAGCCCAAGCAACTTTTGCTGGAGAATGCTCAGAGCGACCATAGCCTGTCATTAGCCATCATTAGCCAGAACTCGCAAATGTAAACCAGGAGGGCTCCGATCTAAGAGTTAAAGGCTCCATGAGGGAGCAGGGCTCCTTTCAAAGGGCTCCTTTCTAACGGGGTCCAGAATAAGCGTTACTACACGGGCTGAGCGTAAGATATAGCAGCCATTGCCTTCAAGGGTCCTTTGGGGGGATGAAGGGAATTCCTACAAAAGAGGTTTTACAAAGGTTCCAACCACGGGGTTACAAGGTTTTGAAGGTTCCAAGGACCTATTACGAAATGAGGTTAAAGACCAGCGCAGTGCGGGGTGCCACTGCCTGGGGAGAGTATGTGATCATTAGGTGCTCGGACCATAACCCTAAACCCTAACCCCAGACCCTAACCCTAAACTCTAAACCCTAAACCATAAACCTAAACCCTAAACCCCAAAACCATAACCCTGAAACCCTAAAACCCTAAACTTTAAGGGTATTTTTGCCTAAAGCAGATCAGAGTCATAGAGCATCTACAGCATGACCGGACAGTAGGTTGGGGTTTGGGTTTAGGGGTTTAGGTTTAGGGTTTAGGGTGTTTAGGGTGTTTAGAGTTTAGGGTTTAGGGTTTATGGTTTTGGTTGAGGGGTTTAGGTTTAGGGTTTGGCAGGGCTAAGGCGGCTAAGGCCAGTCCATGGAAAGCATTTCGCCGCGGTGCTCTTCGAGAATTCGTGGTGCTCCGCGTATCGTGGTTCAGGTGTGTTCGCAATATACCCAAGGTGCGCCCGAATTCTTTGCATGTTGAATTTCCTTCTGAAAAAAGCGTCACAATAGCAGAAACTATCCTGATGCAAATGCAGTTCCCAGAGACTCCAATATCCCTTAATTAAGGAATATACCTTAAATCATATAAGGGATCCTACCATAATTTAAGGAATATTCCCGGCCTTGACGGAGATAAACTTCTTGGTGGTGTTCCAGCGATGCAGCAAATCGTGCGTAGCCGCATACATTACAAAGAGGCCATACATGGCGACCATGCCGGACACTTTCAAGAGGGGATCCGCGACAGCATCAACCTCCCAGTATGGATCCAGCGTGAATCGAGCCCACATGAAGTAGGCATTCACGAAAACCTATACTGAACTTAGAACCCTAGCAACAAATATAATTTTAGCTGTTTCTTAGGGATTATAATAACCCAAAATCAAAAATGATTTTTAAGTACCCCTTCTTAGGGATTATAATAACCCAAAATTTAAAAATACTTCTAAGTACCCCTAAGACACCTGCATGACCACATATTGTCTCACGAGTCTGGAGACCCAGAGCAATTGCTTTGCTGTGATGTGGTGCGGTTGAACACCTGGGTTGTGCTTTAAACCCTTTGAAACTGATTTATGAATAGGTTTCCCCTTTAGAAGGTAATAAGGGAAATAAAAAATTATCCCAAAGCACAACCCAGACACAAGGCCTGAAGCAGCATCCGAAGGGAGGCACGGCAAAGTATTTCTGCGGCCCAAACTTCTGCAGAGTCTGGATGATGTTCTGGCGAAGAGAAACCTGGGAGGTCCGTGACGAAGGCTCGTCGATCTCCAGGTCTTCTCCTTGCTTCAGGGCCTCGACAGATACCAGCATGAAGAGGATCACCATGAAGGAGTAGATAGCAAAGGCCTCACCTGGACATCTACCATGCAGAATCACCAGGCACCAAAGCACCGAAAACTGGAATCTCTGAGTGGGCTCACCATGGCCTAAACTGCAGAACCCCTCTCTCCCTTTTCTGCGAGCGGTGTGCGTCTAAGTTTTTTGAAGCCTCACCCTCAACAGCGACCTTGTCCCATGAAAAGTTCGGCAATGGGCGTCGACAGCGGGGTGAAGAGTGTCAGCCAGGAGAAGAAGGCCCAGACGGTTGGGAAGGCCAGCATCCCATGGTACGATGTCCGAAGCCTGGGTCTTTACGCTACGAGAAAGGGAGAGACAGAAAAAAGGAAGACAGAAAGAAGGCAGACAAGGAAACAGAAGGGAATAAGAGAGAACGTGGCAAAGACAAACCGGCCAAGGCAAATTGAACACAATACACATGTACACATGTGTGTACATAGTATGTAGGTTTATGCACATGTATACACATATGCAAAATATACGCATATACTTACATACATATATACATGAACCCATGTAGACATCTAAACACATATACATGTACACATATGTAGGTATATAGTAAGCATAGACCAGAATTAGACATGCGGCATCATCGATCTGCATTCTGCAATAACTATATATGTATACACACATATATACATATAAATACATACGTAGGCAGACATATACTGCCAGATGTACTTATGCATACAAAAATATCTATGTACAGTTGGACAGGCAGACAAACAAATAGATAGACAAATAAATACATATATATATATATATACATGTACACATGTACATACAAGTATTGAAGTTTGTGTAGGGATCTCCTCTTTCTCCCTCTCTCTTCATATATATATATATATGATATACATATATATATATATATATACGCATGTATATTTGTTTCTCTATCTCTCTATAGTATACACACATACAATCAGGATTACGAATTACACCCACATATACATATGCATGTAGAGGGGGAGAGTGCGAGAGAGAGAGAGAGAGAGAGAGAGAGATTCTAGTCCACTCCGGATCACGAAAAGCAACACCCCAAATCAAGATACCAAAAGCGGCCAGGGAGCAAGCAAAACGGCCTGGAATCCAGCGCACGTGAGTGACGAATGCAGACGATCATTGTAACCACCAGGGCAAAGGAACCTGACATAAGTGTTATCGAATAACGGCTGCTGCAATGTAGGAATAAGGTTACACCAGGATTCGCAACTTTACCTTCGTCTGCTTGCATTACGAACTGGGTGGCTATGCAAGCTTACTAAACCCTAAACCCGGACCAGGGTCCCTAGGCCCTCAAGTCCCGTCACTCCACACGTGGTTCGAAACTTTAGGTCCGCCAACTCGCCCTATGCTTCCGCAAGGTTTAGGCTGGGCTTGGTGGCTTTCACTGATGTAGAGTCCTGACCAATTGTAATAGGGCTTTGGAGCTGCATTGTAACGATGTTAGGGAACGCTAAAGAAGGTAGGCCTGAATATTAGCCCGGATCCCAGGAGCCAATGATCGTGGCAGTCAGAAATGCCGTCGGGTTTTCCTCCATACAGCGCTTGACGTATTTGGGCCGCCGATAATACTCGGCCCGCTGCCATAGCTCTGCCATGCTCTCCGGCATCCCTGTCACTGTCTCTGGCAAGCCTCAGGAATCCCGGAACCTCACCGATCGGCCCTGTCCAGAGGCAAGGCTGCACAGCTCTTGGACCCAAAGCAGAAGTGTGGAATCATGTTACACACATGCACAAGGTCATGTTTCAGCCAGCAGCCAAGGAAAGGCAGGCTCACGACAGATGCTTACGACAACAGCAAAGCCTGCCCCAAACACGGGAGCCTAGTGCTTGAGCTGCAGATCATGACATGCAGCACATACGATTTAGGGGGTTGGGTCTGCCCCGAGCTCTAAAGCCCTAAACCTTAACAAACAGCCTAAAACCCTGAACCCGGATGACACCCTAAAGCCCTAATGGACAGCAGGGCATGCGATGAACTGAAGGACCCTTCAGTCAAGGAATCCTGAAGAAGCTCTGGTAGGAACTCTCAATAAACACTTCTTAGCTAAACTCTGAACTGTCAAAACCTTACGGTGAAAACATTGGGCTAAACACCAAAGCCTACAGCTGCCGGAGCTCAAGCCCAAACCACCCAACCGCAAAACACCTTGAAGGTTGATCCCTGGCCCCTGTAAGAATTCCTTCCCAGGTTCCAAGAAGGGTTCCTTAAAGCACAAGCAGTACCACGGTGCATGTTGTTGCTGAGGGTGTTGACAACGAACTGCTAAGTCGGTCGACAACTGACGCTCAAGAAGACGAGGCTCGTGGACGACGTCGGCATCTGCCTCCACCAAGGCCTTCAAGTCAGCGGCCGTACCCTAAGACTCCAAGTATACAAATAATAGTACCTACTTTGGGGTCTAAAGTCTATAAATGCTAACTACTTTGGGCTATTTGGAGTCTTAGGGGTATCTTTGTGCTCTAGGGCTGAAAGGATGTAAAGGGCTTTGGGGTATATTGTACTTTCTCCATAAGAAGGAACGTCCCTATAAAAGTGCTGGTATCTCTCTAGGCACCCGTACTGTAATACCAAAAGGTTTCGTAATAACGCTCAGGCCCTCGGATTCATCTTTTGCAGCGGGGCTCCCTCTGCCAAGAGCATGTGCCCAAGCAAAGGCGAACTCTCGACACCGCTGGAACTCGGATTCACCTAAAACTTGAACCCTTCTTTTCGAACATATTCAATGTAGACTTGTTGCCGAGGATCCAGCAACGGTTCACGAATCCCTCTATCAGACTGAAACCACAACCAACATGGCAGGGCACCGTTAAACCCCTGAACCCAAATCAATGCGTTTCGGGCCCCACTATAATATGAGTGAAATAAGGAACCCCAAAATAGCATAGGTAATTCTTAAGGCCCCCAAAGTGCCCGGAATTGGGAGCTTGTGTTGCAGTGCTCGGCGGGATCGCACCAATCAAGCATTGCAAAAGGCGCGGCAGCCGTGCTGTACCTGAGCCTCTGGACACTACAATCGCAAGCGTAAATGAGTTTCCGAGAATAGGGGATCCTAATATGGTACCTTAAATAGTAGGATCCTTCTTATAAGGACACCAAAATAAGGTCACCGAATATTCGGAAACTCCCAAACAACAGCTGGAAGCCTCTAACCATGCTGTAGTGAATTCTAGGAAAAATCCTGTATCTCACTTCTTGGACCTTTCGGAAACTGCCCTGAAACTGAGACCCCGAAGAGCGCGCTTCAACATCCAGTTTAGCTCTTAGGATTCCTTTGCAAGGTCACCGCTTTAACCCAGAACTTCGCCTGGATTTGGAGAAACCCTAGCAGGAGCCCACTCGCCGGGCTTGTTAAACCCTCATAACTACCGCAGAAGGCCACCTGGAGGATCACATGACTTCGTAGCCAGGATTAAGCATAAGGCAAGCATAGTTAGAGTTTGTTGAAGCCCCAATAACGCTACATATATAAGCTTACTTACCATGTCCAAGTACTCCCCGCTGTCAACCCCAAATCCTTTTGCAAGTGGCTTGCACTTGCAACGTCACGCCAGGACAGCTGCCGTTGAACCCCAATTAACCCCAAATCCCACCTAAACCCTAACCACCCCAATCACTAAATCCTAATTTATCCTAATCCTCAAAGAATTAAACCCCAAATCCCACCCTAAACCCTAACCACCCCAATCACTAAATCCTAAATTATCCTAATCCTCAAACCACAAACCCAGCTTACCCCTAAGGGTCCATGTACTCATATGTATGTACATCGGCCTTAAAATAGTCCCTACATAGGTACTTTGGGGCCAAAGTATATACTATTTGGGTACATGGACCTTATACCCCAAGCATTAAGTACCCATAGTATAGAACCCTTATGGTACTTGGAGGATCATGGGACTTAGTAAGTCAGGCTTTAAGTACATTAAGTGGGGTTATAAGTGGTTACAAGTATAGTTACCATATTTATATCCCCAGTTACTAAGTCCCATGATCCTTTAAGTACCCTACCCTATTATAGAACCCCTATAGATCCCTTTAAAGGAGCCCCTTTAAGGAACCCCTATAGAACCCATATCCCTTATGGTACCCTTTAAAGGAAGGGTACCCTGCCCTTTGCCTTGCAAAGCTCCAGATCTCCCGCGCAGGCGGCCTGTCGCGCAAGCCACAGCAAATCGCCGCGGAATGCTTCGGGGTCTGCCTACCCTAAGGCCCCATAGTAGTTCCTTCTTGGGATTGACTTACAGGATCCTAAATAGTAGTACCTTTCTGGGATTACCTGATATTATAGGAGTCTAGATATGAACCACGAAAGGAAATATGGGGCCTTAGGGTAGGGTTTACGGGTTCTCTGCTTCTTATCAGAGATTCGTCTAACCCGATATCCTATATCATCGTCTGACTTTCCAGACTCTCAAGCGCCGAGTTCTCGCCACATCCCACCGGCCTCCATCAGAGGCGTCTCACCCTGTGAATCTTGGCAGTTCCTGGTCGCTTCCAAGAGGTATAGGGCTACGGTGCTTGCGGGGGTTTGTGGTTAGACATCTTGGCTTTTGCGATTATCTGGCACACGCTTACAAAACGAGGGCCGAAGGTGCGTCGGCAAGCCACTTGACGAGCATGAGTTCGCTTCCATGCCTAGGGTCTTGGTGAAGATCCAACACATTAAGCCTTCAATAGCAACAATGTACCAACCCTAAGCTATACTTGCAGGTCGCCCTCATCGAGATTGGATCATGTAGAGATTCACACACATAGAAATACATATGCATGCTGCATACATACATACATTAATTATAGTACAGTACAAAACAGTACAGTACGTAAACATATACCTTCCTATGCAAAGCATACATGCATGCCTACATGAATTTCCGTATACATACATATATATCTATACACATCGTAGATGTCGCCTTCTGAAGGGCCCATATCCCTGAACATGCAACTGTGAGTATCAAGCACAGAGAATCTCGGGATCCCGCTCTACTCGCCCCGGCCTTCCACTGCTCTGCATAGCAGCAACAATAAATATTAGCAGCTGGTGGTGGTAAACTTCCGGGACGCATGATGCGGAGGAGCCACTACCGAATAGTTACCCGACGCACTTAGCGGAGAAGTTCGAAGCCAAGAGTCGGGTTCGCCCGCTCCTGAAGCAAGCAACGGACCTTGGGCTCTTGGAGCTTAGGGTTCGGGGTTCGGAGTTTTGAAGGTTTAGGATTCAGGTTTAACGGTTCAGTCAGGGTTTACATATGGTTCACGGGCAGTCATATGTATTGGAGATAAATACAGTATCGAAGTTATCGGAAATTTCGCATAGGCGTCGGTACCTTTATTGTAACTGCACAGCTTCCTGGGATTCGGTGGCTTTCTGAGCTTCGAGCGTCAGACGCACAAGTGGGATGGCATGGCAGAAGTACAAGAAAGGGAATGTCATTAGTCTTTTCCAAGATGCTCAAAAGCCCTAGAGCAATACGTCTCCAAATCCGATTCTCGATGCTGTAGAGGCAAAAGTGCTTCTAGACTATCCCGGAATTTGAACACAAACCCTAAACACCAAAACCCTAAACCCTAAACCCCTAAACCCTAAACCCCTAAACCCCTAAACCCTAAACCCCTAAACCCCTAAACACCAAACCCCTAAACCCCTAAACCCCTAAACCCTAAACCCCTAAACCCCTAAACCCCTAAACACCAAAACCCTAAACCCCTAAACCCCTAAACCCCTAAACCCCTAAACCCCTAAACCCCTAAACCCTAAACCCAAACCTCTATTGAAACCCCGATCTGACACCTGGGGCTGGGCCTCAGAGTCTCGTGTTCGAATTGCTGCTGGGTCCTTCAGGGCCTTTTGAGGTAGGTTTTTTTTCCCACCCGCTTTTTTTTTGAGGTAGTTTGGGTATGGGGTTTAGGGTTTAGGGTTTAGGGTTTAGGGTTTAGTTTGGGTATGGGGGTTTGAGGTAATTTCCGAAGACTGTTGGAACACCAAAAGCTCTGGGAACATGCGTTCACTCTCTATCCCCTATTGAATGAGGGCTAGCACAAACCTGTCGAGCTTTAGGAGCCTTCGCACCCTAGGCCTCCCTTTATAAGGACCCCTAGGTATATACCCTTAATATATCCATTATACACTCATTATATAGCCCATTATAGGGTAGGGTCCCCATTAAGGGTCCCTCCTTTTCTCCTCATGGCAGGGTCTGTATCAGATCACGGGGCCCTAGGGTTCTACTTGGAGGTTCATGGGTAGCTATAAGGGCTTCTTTAAGGGCCCCTTTAAAGGGATCTATAGGGATTCCATAAGGGTATAGGGTGTAGGGCTCTACTTGGAGGTTCATGGGTAGTTATAAGTAGGGATATAAGTAGGGTAACTATTATACTTATAACCCATATTAGGGGACTTATAACCCTACTTATAACTACCCAGGAACCTCCAAGTAGACTTCGGACGAAGTTCAGATTTTAGGGTTTGGGCGTTTTAGGCTTCAAGTTTTCGGGCCGTAGGCAAGTGGGACTGAGGGTTCATGCCTCAGGTGGTTTCGGGTGCATGATACTATAAAGACCATACTTACAGGGGCCATACAAAAAGTTGGAACAGGGTTTTGGGGTACATTATACGATTAAGACCATACCTAGAAAGTCATACCCTACCTCTTTTTTAGGATACCTAGTTTTATGGTTAGGTTCTACTATATAGAAAAGTAGGTACCGTAAAAAAGGGGGGAGCGTATGACCCTATAGGTATCTATGCACAGGCTAGGAATTGTGGTAGAAGCCCAAAAGTTGGAAACCCAATAGCCTCCATCCTGAAGGTTAATGTATAGGGAATCCCAGCACTATTTGGCCTTAATCCGGCTTCCAATTTTATGGAGTTTACTGTATTCAGGGAACAAGCTGAGCAGGAGACCGTTGCTAGGCGATCTTCGGCATGGAAGTCTGACAGATGAATGGGACAGGTCTGAAGCCACTCTAACGCCAAACTATGAGAACTATGGTATAGTCCTTAAAATGGGTAATGCAGGATTTTGTCCATCAACAGTAAGTACAACAAGGTTGGAGATCCCTGATCATGCAAAGGTACTACGACATGCTAAGGAGCAGTCACTAATTGCACAGGCTTCTGTCTTTATAGTCTTTCAACACCGTTCCATGAGGTCCAAGAAGAGACATGTCATGGCTGTGCTGAGGGAGTCGAACAGCAAAGTAGTGCTGAACGCATCCCTACCTGCGCTCAACTATGTCAAGCAGGACAGCTTACATCGCGAACTCCGGCTGTCTCAAGCTTCAATCCTACTGGACTCATAGATGTCTCTTGCTCGTATGCCTGAATTCTGATGCTTAGGTCTTAGGGTGTATATAGCCCCCGCGGTCGAGGATCTGAGGTTTGGCACGGGCTGAACGGGGAATTGACATATTTTCTTCGCTCTCGGAAACCCTAAGGCCAAACACGAGACATGCAGCCCCGAAACTGCTCGATCCAGGCCGGGATGCAGTGACATTCCACATAAGACTGACAAGATAACTGCCCGGTGGTGTGACGACGATACTCCAGATCAACATTCACAACGAAGAAACTCGACGGGACATGCCCCAACAACATCTAAAACCCCAAGATAAACATACAAACCCTAAAACCACCAGATATCGATATCCCCACACACACACACACACACGCGCACGCACACACACACACACACATGCGCACAAGGAAGGATTCGAACCCAAGCTCTGTCTGCGCAGACCTTGACTGGCAGCCGCCCGCGAGGCCAGAAGCAAAAGGCTCTCCTGTGCTGTTCCAAGCTTTAGGGTGTAGGGTTTAGGGTTTAGGAAAGGACACTTCTGATGATAACCCGAAGAGAATAGGCTTAGGAAACTGCACCTCTGAATAGAACCCGAATTAATTTCAAATGGGCTTAGGAAACTACACCTCAGAAAAGAACCCGAAATAGTTGTAAATAGGTTTAGGAAACTACACTTCTGATTCATTGGATCCATGGATCAAGTAATTATCCGTTCTTGCCAAACGCCTGAATCCGTTAGGTAAAGATTCCCCGAGCACTAGCGCACCCTGTGGAGGACATATGGTTCAAAGCCCCTACAGGCCTAAAAAGCTTCGATGCTGTGATATAGGCATACGGTCTGCTCCAACGGTGAAACCCCAAAACGCAAACTCCTAACACACCCCAAACCCCTAAAAACCCTCTTTTCGTTGAACGAAGTCTCTCTGAGGCAAAAATCCCCAAAATCCCAAACCCACGGGTGCTGTGGCTAGTTTTTGGGAGCTGCGGTTGATGATATAAATCCCGCATTACCTTCATGGCCCTAGACTATGAGGATTATGGTCTACTGTATTTCTTATTTTAGGTAATCGGGTAATGCAGGATTTGTATCATCAACCGTAGTTTCTCGTCGATGAGGGTGTAGCATATGTAGGGTATTTCAAGCATTTAAGCTTTCAGCACTCAGCCTCGGGCAATCCAGCCTGAGAGTTGAGGCTATTTTTCCCTACTTAGCCTCCCTACCTAGCATTGAGGCTTTCGGGTTCAGGGTATTCAGAGCATTTTCGGCTTTAGGGGATATTTATGGTCTAGGGTTTATTTACTGTGTGTGTGTGTGTCAGGACTCAAGCTAGTCCTTGGGAGTCTGGATGAGTCTAGGCATGCCGAGGCTATTGATATCAAGGTTGTGATTCTCCTCTGGACGTGATTGGCGCTGACTCTAATAGAGGCCTCGCGAGTCTATGCTTTTGAGTCCGAGGTTCAGGGCGGCGAGCCATAAAAACCAGAAGCTCCTAAACCATTAAGCCAAAACCCCAAAATCAATAGTCGGTAAACTCAGAACGCAAACTAGCCTCAAACACATGTTGCCCTTGTGGTACGGAAAACCACAAAAATCCGTTCATCTTTCTGAGACCTTAAACCCTTTTGATCCCATAGCGTACTATAGGGTCCTTAACAATTAGACTAGGGTTTTCGGGCCCATGATACTCTAACTATAATAATAAGGAACCCCAAAATAGTACAGGTAAGTCTTCAGGCCCCTGTATTGACGCATGGTCGCACGACTGCCTCCATGAAGTTCCGCGCGTTGGGATCTCCATCAACCGCTAGGAGTTCACGGACGAACGATCCTCGGGCGCCGGGGTCAACATAGGGGTCAGTGAGAGTATGTTCAGAAATACTATCCTTGGAATTTCCTAAGCAGCTGTTGGCTGCAGAGTAGAACCGAGTTTATACAAGCTTCCAAGACCCGGTTGAGGGTTTAGGGCTGACCGTGACACAACTGTCGTTTAAAGGGGTCTCACCTTCCTCACTGTAGTGGGCACTGATGGGTTTCAACACAGAGTAGCTGGGCCTTCAGGGCTCTGGGCTTCAGGTTCTCTCTGTCTGCCTTGTTGCTGGACCGTGCTCTCTCTCTCTCTCTCTCTCTCTCTCTCTCTTGTGTCTCTCTCTGTGTCTACAGCATCCTTCTAAATCCTTACAGCCTTACAGTAGCCCTTATAGATCCCTTCAAACCTCAATTCTAATTTTCCTCCCCTCCCGGGGTCCTGCAGCAGCGCCCGCTGCAGGAAGCTCCACCAGCCTAGGAGTGGGTGGCACTCTGTCAAGTGTACAGGGCTTGGGATTTAAGGTTCAGTGTTTATGGTTTAGGTGGGGTTTCTCCTTCGGACGTGGGGTTTCAAGCGGGCTCAACTCTGCTGCGTGACATGCTGCGCTGTAGAATGGCGGGCTTCCTTCAAAAGGGCCGTCGAAAGTTAGGGTTTAGGGTTCAATAAGGCGCCTATACAAGCTTGGCTGACTTCTGAACCCCTCCTAAAGGTCAAACTTGTAGCCTCCCCTCACTACAGTTCATATAGAAACCCAAAAAGTTAGTCTCCTAAGAGCCAACCAGAAGAACGCCTTTCTGAGAACCTATCCAATGAGAAATGGGCTTCAGGATGTTTCGCAAATATGGCAGCTTGTAACTCGCGCCAGATGCCGACTGAAACGTTCTCATATCGGTGCCTTATAAGAGTACGATTACAAAAGCTACGATTAGGGTAAGGAACAACAAAATAGTATAGGTGATTCTTAAGGCCCCTATGTTATCCTGCCTGTACTTCGTCAGTCATAGTGGTTGACAGCCCGAGGATGCCTTTCGGCTTGAATAACAATTGCAAGTGACATTTCGATGATTTTTCAGTGTCTCTCACGCTTTTCATGGGATTGATTTAAGATTTGGGACCAACAAGCAGACTTTCTTCCCTGCAGATCAAAGTCTGTCACGACTTTTGAGGACTTCGCCGACTTAGCCTCTGCCCCACACGGCTGGAGGCCACACATAGTCCCTGCCCAATGTTTAGATAGATCGACATGGGTGGTTGTCAAAATCATGGCCCCTTTTTGGGTACTCTAAATAATAGGTGCCGTACTAGAATAGGGACCCAGAAAGGGACCATAATTTTGACAACCACTCGCATAACTCTAGCCACACACTTGCTGGGTTCAATGGCTGTCGTTTACGAGGGACAGTGGCTACTGGGTGTATGTCAGGCCATTGGCAAGGCATCTGATGGGTGCATGGGTTTCCGGCGATGGCTGGCTCCCCCTGGAGAGGTGATCAGAAGCGAGACCTAAAACTAGACGGCCCTAAGGGACACAATAATTCAGTACTTGGTCTTAGGACGGCAGTGAATAATTCTAAATAGTCTAGGTTAGCATGTGGGAGAGTACATGGCTATCAGGTATTTGGGCCCTTGGCGTTTAGCTATTTTACGAGAGTACACTCCCACAGTTGCTGCAAGTGGCCTACACAGCCAATGTTGAAGTCATGGGGTAATGTGGGGACCTTCATGAGTAGGATAGGGTTTCGGTGTTTCCTTATTATAGCTGTAGAATAATACACCCCAAAACCCCATTCTAATCATCAAAGCCCCTGTACTACCCTTAACCTCGCGCTGACATGTGAAGCCAAAGAGCTTTGTGAGAAAACCGTCGACGTCGCCCTGGGTGAGGGCCACAGGCATCAAGCCGAGCTATCAGTCACAAAACTCTCTGTGCCAGGGTCAGAACACAAAATCATGCCAAATCCCCATCATATAGTCACAGTACAACGGCCTGTAGTCGTCTTGTCACAAAAAGTACAACATCTCTTTTTTACAAGTTCAATACACAGACCTGTTGTTACAAGGGCCGAAGATTGCAACCCTCAAGAATACACGACGTGCGTGCCATGGTGTTAAGAAGCATATGACCGAGGATAACAAGACCCAGCAATACCTGAAGTATGTTCCACTATGGGTCCGTTACGTTACTCTGTTTGCGGACACTGAAGAACAGAGTCTCATGAAAGGCATTGGGCAACTTGTCCGGTGCAGGTTCGAAGAAACTCAGTGGCCGTGCAAAGTCTGTCTTCATATGTACTGGTACAGTGCAATCTGTGTTGCTCTGGTGGGGTACTGTCACTTGCAATCCAAGAAACAATCACATACGCGCCGTCACGGCTCGCAGTGTCTGTCTATCAGAAACTGAGCAGTCAGTTCAACCAAGTGAGTGTCAGTGTGTGAAGATAGAGATAAAGCCTAGTCTATATCCCCACAGTATGGGACTACTGTAAACGAAACTCAGGCATTTGCATACAAGAAGCTCTCCAACAGCATAAACCCAAACAGCTCACCGACACCTAAACCCTACCTATATAGAGGCTCCATCGTATTTCATTTTTGTGGTTCATACTTAGAATCCTATAAAGTACTCCCAAAAGGGAACTACTATGGAGCCCTAGGGTAAACTAAAAGCCCCCGAAGCGTCGCCAACGAAGGACACAGGCCTCCTTCCGCAGACGCCCGGCGACTGCAGCGAAGTCCACTTCACGATCGGCCTGCCGCTACGATTCCCAAGGAATATCTAGGAAATCTATCTATTTATCTTTCCATGTGTGTATATATATATATGTATGTATGTACACACTCGTACTTTGCTCATACAGGTAAGCTCCTGAGCGTCTCTAAGATTCCTAAAGTCCTAAAGTGAGCATGGCATATTACATCCCAAAAGCCCTTTCGAATCAGCCAGGCCTCTATTAACAGATTACACCAAAACGAGCTCGGACTACCTTCTTAAATCAGCAGTCTGGGGGCTTTAACAACTAGGACAGGCTTCCTCAAACGGTTGCTTGAAGGGTTTGAAAGAACATCACTAGTAGCCTTAGAGGCATAGCTCCAGACAGAGGCGGTATACTGCTCAGTTGAAGGATTCTTGCCTCCTGCCTTGCTAGACGAACCTGCGACGCAGGGCGTCCTGCAAGAACTTCTGAACAAGGAGCTTGGTCCATCGTAACGAATTCGAACACAGACTGCCAAGGGTTAGTTATGGCCTCTCTAGTGGTGAGTTGAGGGGTTGGAAGGAAGATATCGGGGGCTCAAGACTCACATCGGGGGCGAATGGAACCCAACCTTCACAAGGAAACCTGGCTCAAGGGGATTATCCTGTTTCAGGATGCAGGTTTTTCGCGCTAATCATCACACGGTTTTTCCAACCTCCGGATCTCGCTCGGGTACCATGGCTCTGTGCAGCAGAAGGGCTTTAGATAATACTATTGCTAGTGTTATTAGTATCCTGTATTCTCATCATTACTATTGTAACTGGAATTGGTATTGTAATTACTTATATTAATTAGAGTAAGGTTTGGTCGTGCATTTTGCAATTAAGAAGGAGCCCACGGCATCAAGTCAACAAGCCCCGAACGACTTGAACAAGTCTAAAGGCCCCCTTTCTAGTATCCTCATACCGTACACAATTTCCGCTTGGAATCGCGATTGCACCCTACAAGCCTCTTCGGAAAAATCACTGAAGCCGTAAACCCTAAACCATCCTTTTTGCAGCAGGCCTCGTTGGCCAGCCGCCCGGTTACAGCGTGAACCTCCCTTTCCCCCGCTTTCAAGCCCAAACCTTAAACCTTCAACCCATCTTGGGCCTTCGTCCCGGCGAGTCGGGTCAAGAGTTGGCTGAAGGACTCGGCGGTGACAGCGTCCTGGGTTGCGAAGGCTTGATATCAAGGCCTTTAAGAGGTCAAAAGAAGGCCTAGCCAGGTTCAAATGCCTACACCCCAGGCGAATCCGAATGTCCAAAACAGGCTGTAACATGCGACTCAACTCTGTCCTGAAGCTCGATCCCCAAGATCCCAAAGAACCGAACCTCCCCCGTCTCTGAATCCCCTTCATCTAGGTTCTCGTTAAGGTTTCTTGTGAATTTACTTGTTGTTATTCTGATTGGGATCTACAAAATTCTACTAATATGATTTCCTTGTTAATGGCAACTTTACTTATCTTACTTAACAAGAACCTAACAATTCAAGAATATACCCTGGAATGGAGATCCCTCTGCGTGAGTCAGGGCATGCCTCTTTGATTAAGGATCCGTCCAAGCATTGAAAACCTTTTGGCTACCCCAGAAAATCTATGTTGCTCTAAACCCTAAAATCCGAAACCCTGAACCCCTCAACCCTAAAACACCGGAACCCCTAAATCTCTGAACCGTAAACCCCCAAAACCCCTCAAAACCTAAACGCCTAAAGCCAAAACCCCTAAAGGCCTAAAATCCTAAACCCCTACAGCCCTAAACCCCTAAGCCCCTAAACCCCTCTTATTTTAACCTGACTTGATGAACTCCAACGCCCTGAAGAAAGCCTAGGCGCGGCCATCAGCGCCACGGCTCCTTGGAGCACTTCCTGGAGGCTTCTTCACTAGGCACCGCCCCCATACAGTAAGAGTCTATAATAGGGCTACTATTAAGGTCGTATTCTGTTTAAAGTCCAAATATATTTAAGGTCCTAATAGATCCATATTATGAACAATATTCAACCAATGCTGAGTGGGGGCCGTGCCAAACTTCTTCATTCTAGGACTTCAGAAGTCTGAAAGCGTCTTGTAAGTTAAGCAGAGTTCGTTGACTAATTACACACATACATACATCCACGTGTGTATGTGCATATATCTATACATGTATAAAAAAACAGATTACATCGGTATGTATCTACCTTCCATAGACTCTTTTTATCTTTGAGGGGGGTTTTGTTCCAGGACGACAAATCCACAACGGGGCCCTAAACCCTAAACCGCAAGACCAAGTAGCGGCAGAAGCAGCATTCAACCCGCTGTCCCCTTCGTCCGGTGCCTGGTTAGGAGAACAATGCTGGTTGCTAGGGCCTTTTCCTACACTGAACTTAGAACCCTAGCAGAAATTATGATTTTAGCTGTTTCTTAAGGATTGTAATAAACCAAAAATTAAAAAATATTTCTAAGTACCCCTAAGTTTCTTCCTACTTAGCAAGCACGAGGCCGAGTCAGGGCCTTTGGGGATGTTTACTATACCCCCCCCCCCTTAGAACCATAATCAACAGTTTGTTTTTAGTATTCTCTTGGGTTTTATATGAACAAAGATACAAATGATTCTTAAGGAGACGATAGTTTAGGGTTTCGGGGAGACTTTGGGTTCTGTGACTGCACCACACAGCCTCACAACTCTGACATGCCATGTCATGCTAAGAGTGGCTGCCGCGCATTGACACATGGCTACCATGGCTACTGGACACAAGCCCCGCACGGCACCAGCTGCCGGAAACTACTTTAGCCCTACTTGAGTGAAGAGGTGCGGTGAAAAGTCGATTTCTGAGCCGCTGGCTGAAGATAAGTGCCCGAGCTAACTTCTGCTACAATACTTCAGCATTGCAGCAATCTTGCTGTGTTCAACCCTGAACCTGTAACTGTAGACCCCATCTTAAACGAACCGTACCGACACTATTTTAATTTTATACCGCATTGTGTCTTGCAGGATTCTGTGTCGAAAAAGCTACCTGGGCCTCTCATCCCGGACCCCGACAACACCTCGAAGAAGAAGGCTTCTCATCGTGCCAGCAGACTGGTTCGTAAGGGTTCCATATGCGTAATTTCTCCAATCTAAGAGCTTCATACGAGTCCTTTCGTGGCTCTGTGAAGGTTCTAAAAGGGACCCCACATCTACCCGGAGGTTGTGAACTTTCAGGAGGTCTTCGTGTATGCACAACATACTGAAGTGACCGTTTAGGGTTTAGGGGGCCGTACATCTTGAGAATCTTTCCTCCCTTCCGACACCGTTGAGAAGCAACCTCTACTTGTAAGTTGCAAAAGGCCCCACGTAGACCGTGAACCCTACACTGCGGAGGTGCCTCTACAGTGCTGTTCTTAGCACTGCTCTTCTTGTAAATCGTAGCCTCCAAGCCCTAATACAGGGGCCCTAATAGTTAGATTAGAGTCCCAATATAGTAAAGGTAACTAACTTTTAAGGCTCCTCTACCATACCCGAAAACCAAAGACCCCGACTATGGATCCCTTATAGAACCCTGTAAAGGAAACCTGTTCGAATCATTAAAGCCAATCCCACACGACGTCCTTGCTTCGCGAGTCCTGGACTTCCAAAATCCCTTAAGGAAGGAATATACCGTAAATTAGAATAGGATCCCGAATATTACCCTAAGACCCAATAGTGGAGTTCATATATAGAATCCTATAAGGTAGTCCCAAAAAGGAACTACTTCGGGGCCTACATGGGTAGTTACGGTCTATTTCTTAAACAATGTGATTCCTAATATTATTCTTACAAGTGTATATTCCTTAAACTAAACCCTAAACCCTAGGGTATATTCCTTAATTAAGGGATTTGGGGAGGTCTGCGAATCCGCGCCTCTGCATCCCGGCCGTCCAAGGGCTCAAAAGGCGCCGGAACCTCCGCCGTCGCCCTGGGAAGGCAAAGAGCTGATAGAGGAGCTTCCGAACATTACTTGGAGGTTAACGGGTAGGTATAAGTAGGGCTATAAGTCCCCTAATATGGGTTATAAGTATAGTTACCCTACTTATAACCCTACTTATAACCACCCATGAACCTCCAAGTAGGGTTCCTTTAAAGGGTTTAGGGTTTATAGGGCTTACAGGGTTGAGGGCCTAGGGTTCCTTTGAAGCGTTTAGGGTTTATAGGGTTTATAGAGTTTAGTGTTCCTTTAAAGGGTTTAGGGTTTAGGGTTTCAGAACACCCTACTTGGAGGTTCATGGGTAGTTAAAAGTAAGTTGTAAGTCCCCTAATATCGGTTATAACTATACTTATCCTACTTATCACCCGACTTATAACTACCCATTAACCTCCAAGTAGGGTTCCTTTAGAAGGTTTAGGGTTTCCGAACGTTATAGGGAAAAAGACGCCGAAGGAAGAACTGTTGATTTCTACATAGCTCTTTGTTCGTCGCGGCTCTTCGGCAACCTTACTGTCAAGACACATTCCTTTCAAAATCGAACAGTTTTGATATGTGGAAGTTCCAGAAAACGGAAAGTCTAACAGTCTAAAAGCTTGACAACAGAAGGAGTACTGCAGACATTAACGTATCACCCTATAAGCAAAAGCCTCAATCTTTAGGCATTGCTCCTGTGCCGGCGCATTGCTTGGACAAGTGGCCTCGAGTCTGCGGCCGTCCGGCCCGCGAGACAAGCTTTCGTCGCCACGTCCGCGACCGTCAAGGTCCGCGAGACAGGCATCTGCACAAATGGGGCAGGAGGATTCCAACAATGTCGTAGCCTTAATTCTTTGAATAGGGTCTTGGGCTACATTTTGCCAGACTCAAAAATAAGGAACCCCAAAACAGTAGTGGAAATACGTTAGGCCCCCTACCGTATAGATTCAAGAAACGAGGATGTAGGGCGTGCTGGTTAGGAAACAATGGCAGGACCTCTTAGGATCCTTGGAGGATCATGGGACTTAGTAAGTCAGGTTATAAGTACCTTAAGTGGGCTTATAAGTGCTTCTGAGTATAGTTGCCTTGTTTATAACCCCAGTTGCTAAGTCCCATGACAGCACCCAAGCCCCCAAAAGCATCACACCACAGCCCATTGGGTTCAAATCAGTTCACTCTAGAAAACACCACCAATTTTTTTCTCCCCTTCCCCTCCCTCCCCCCTCCCCCCCCTCTCCCCCTTCCGCCCCCTTTCCCCCCCCACCCGTCTTGCCCTGTACAAGTGCATTCGGCTTCTGGTCTGTCGCCCACGGGGTCGGCGGCTTGAGCCGGAGGCTCTTAAATCGGGCAGCGCTTCGCTGCCCTGTATGGACTGAGCTATGGCTCAGACGAATGGGCTTCTCTTGCGAAGCAAAAGCCACGACGGCTTGTGCCGCCGACCCGCCGCCGACCCCGCATCATCGGACCTCCGTTTCTCCATAGGGCCCCGCAGGCCCTGGCCCGGAGGCGTCTCGGAACGCGCACGCGCTTCGCAGCCATTCCCCACGGCATGGCGGGTTTCGGGGCCGCCGTGGACGAACCGAGGAGGCGAGCCGGCGAGCATCATGAGCACTCGGGCGCCCGCAACCGGCCCCGCGGCGCGAAGTGGGCGCGAAGTGATGATTTCCAAGTTTTTGCGTGGGTTGCGGAAGCCCCAAAAGGGCGCGCATCATCAGCATCAGCGGGTCCGGCGGAGGGCGGATGCGGGCTACATTGGAGGGCCGACGAGGGCTAAGAGCGTAAGATCACCCATTAGTTGTGCACTTCGGGCCTACGTCACACTTTTCTTCCGGTGTCGAGCTGTCGTTGTCTCGGCACCGTCTGGAAATTTTGACCGTGTCTTTCCCGTTCCCCCGCTACATCCGCTGACAACAACTCGCGCTGCCCGCACCTGGGCGCAGCCCCTAGAATCGGGCAGCGCTTCGCTGCCCTGTATGGACTGAGCTATGGCTCAGACGAATGAGCTTCGTCTGCGAAGCAGAAGCCACGACCGACAGTGCCGCCGACCCGCCCCGGACCCCGCATCATCGGACCCTGGTTTCTCCCTTGGGCCGCGCGGGGCCGGGCCCGGAGGCGTCTCGGAATGCGCACGCGCTTCGCAGCCATTCCCCACGGCATGGCGGGTTTCGGGGCCGCCGTGGACGACCCCAGGAGGCGAGCCGGCGAGCATCATGAGCACTCGGGCGCCCGCAACCGGCCCCGCGGCGCGAAGTGGGCGCGAAGTGATGATTTCCAAGTTTTTGCGTGGGTTGCGGAAGCCCCAAAAGGGCGCGCATCATCAGCATCAGCGGGGTCCGGCGGAGGGCGGATGCGGGCTACATGGAGGGCCGACGAGGGCTAAGAGCGTAAGATCACCCATAAGTTGTGCACTTCGGGCCTACGTTGCACTTTTGTTCCGGTAAATCCAAACTCAAGACGTTCGTCCACATGCAAATGAGACTGAAGGAAGCTTCCAAAGGCATTCCTGAATGTATAAATACACCACGTGGAAGGGCTTTCAACAATTGACCCACTGGCATCATCCCTAAACCCTAAACCCTAAACCCTTGCGGAAGCCCCCAAGAGCTTAGCGCTGCCCGCACCTGGGCGCAGCCCCTAGAATATTAGGTGCCGTAGTATAATAGGGACCCAAAAAGGGGCCATAGTTTTCACAACCACCCCATGTACGAAAACTGTATTGAGCACTTCTTCATTTCAATTGCATTTATCGGCCTTCGAATCAGTTGAAGAATAGCAACAATTACAGAAGCTGCTTTCACCAGTCGGGTATGCTTGCGAGCTGCCGATGTCAAGCATGACAACCGGATCTGCCAACAAGGGTTTTGTGGGTCGGGTTCTCGCAATTGGCATGAGACGCTAGGGTGCAGGACCGAGCAGCGTCGGAACCAGCATTGAAGCCGCCGTTGCTGTCGTCTGGTGCCTGGTTTGAGGACTCTAGCACTTCGGGATGAGGGACCAACTTGCAGAACAAGTCCGTGGATTGTGTCAGACTTGAACCTGTACGGTGCTACATGGTCAGAACAAAATCTGCGGGCTGCCCATACGCCCGGTGCGGGAGAAAAAGCTGGAAGAGGTTAAACGTCAACAATGGTCCATCTCAATAAATACGAGTCCCGGTTCGGGGATTCCTTCGAGTGGTCCAAAAGCGAACGGAAGCTCTGTTGTGGCAACTGTCGGAAGGCTAGAACAAACTTGTTTATCTCAAAGGGGAAAAGGAGGGACCCTTAATGGGGACCCCTACCCTATAATGGGCTATATAATGGGTATCTAATAGCTATATTCAGGGTATACACCTCGGTGTCCTTATTAAGGGTCCCGCCTTTTACCCTCGGATTATCTGGAGCCCGCTTCTTTAACAGACTCGTTCAAGACACGGGCCAGGAAAAAAAACAAAACATGCGGCACTGAGTTTCAGAGGAGGTTAGCATGCCTACAACCGTAAACCCTAAACCCTAAGCCCTAAACCCTAAAGCCTATAATTTAGCCTACAAAGGAACCCAAACATGGGAAGGGCCCCTACTTGGCACCTTAAATTGCTCTTACCAGGAAGCGCCTCGACTTGCCCATGTTATCCACCGCATGCACCCTACATCAAAACTGAACCCAGCCCTGCACAACTACCAAACCTGAGCCGAAAAACAAAACCAAAACCCTAACCCTGAGATACAAGCACCAGCCAGCACCTGCAGAACCAATATAGCGGCCATTGTAATTGGAGTAGGCTATGGGGGTATATTATGCTACAATTACAATGAGGAGCCTTAAGGAAAAAATCTAATTCGCCTCGCCCCCGGCCGAAGCGGTCAGAGGTTGCTGTACGGATTCCCTGTATGCTTTACCTCTTGATCCCCTCCCTAGTGACCCCGGATCCTGACACGGGCCACCCCCTCCTCTCTGTGAACCCATGAATTTGCCCCCACATCCTGCGGTGAAATCTCGCCTCCTCCAATAGTCCCACCCAGCCCCCCGCCACTGAGAGTTTGGGTCTACTCCAATACTGACAGTTACAAAATACCGCGCTTCTATGCAGAAGACCTGCGCAGAAGCAATCCTCTGTACACTCTGACTGCTGGGTTTTGCTACCTGCAAGATCTCGGCCCAAGAATTCTCTTCAGCGCAGCAACTTTTCACGGGGTAGCGATGCAGGCTCCGGATGCTTGCCTTAGACAAACACCTCCAACCAATTCCGCATGTACGTGTGCAGCCAGGCCGAGGAGGGCGACGCGAAGCGTCGAAATTATGTAGGCCTGTAAATTGCCGTGGGCTCTCCGGCGCCTCCTCGTCGACCTCGGGAAGGGGCGGAGGCTCCGCCGGCATCGTGGGCGCCCTGGACTTTCAGGATTTGAGAGACTTGCTCTAGGGCTTCGGAGTGTTTATAGGGCTTGTAGGATCTCGGGATGGCATTGGCATTACTCACTTTGGACCCCCACTACCCGGCATGCTCGGTCCTCATATGGTTCAAAATAGGGCCCCAAAAAAGCATATAAGCAAAGATAAGGTTCATGGATATCCCATATAAACCCGCTTATGATGAAGCCCGATAAGGTAGGGATATCCCTATAAAATGCTTATGCTCATGTGCTTTTTGGGGTCCCTAACAAAAGGCTTGCAAGGGGCTTAACGAAGGCCAAGACGAAGTTCGGGGGTTGCAACGCTGAGCACTACGCACGGATGAACACCCTAGCTTCAGTCATTCTGGACTTGTGGGAGTTTCTGAAAATAGGGGCCCCTAATATAGCACCCTTTCAATCGTAGGATCATTATGATAAGGACCCCAAAATAAGGTACCCCTAATTTTCGGAAACTCCCTTGTGGAACAAGTCCAGCGGACGGTGCACCAGCGGCGGAGCCGCCAACATACAAACGACGGGGTTTGATGTCGGATACGTTGTGGCGCTTCATTAGTTCCAGTTCCAACCTATGGTCTAGTCTCCGGTCGCCCCCTTGGAACGAGCTCGGGCCGCCATGCCAACCCCACATGAAGTCATGCGGAAACTTGCACGCAAAACATTCCAACAAACAGTGGCATCCTTGCGGTACATGTTTTGTTGGATTCAGGGAACCCTAAACCCCTGAACCCTTTGAACCCTAAACCGCTCTAAACCCTTTAGAAACAACATAGACCCCGAAAGCTAGGATCCTTCGTCGACAGCCCCCCGAAGCAGCAGGGTTTTTGCTTGCCTCCTGCATGGCCTGGTACGCGAAGCAGGGAGATAGGTTCGTATACCCGTGAATTAACCCCCCCCAGTTTACAGGGTAGTGCGATTTGGGTCATCTTCATCCAATCAATCATGCAAACAGAGGAGGGCTTAGGGCTTTAGAGGTTTAATATAGAGGCCTTAATAAATAGAATAGGGTTTTGGGGCCCATTATAAATAGAATTAGGAGCACACAAAATAGTATAGGTAATTATTAAGGACACTATATTAGGGTTGATTCCAGGTGGCGAGTCTGCGCCGGGACGGCCCGCGAGGCACGCCTACGCAGGAGCGGTTGGGCGCTAAGTCGTGCTTGAAGCTTGCTAAGGGTTAAACCTGGTAACCTCAAACCCTGAACCCCGAAACCACGAAACCCTAAATCCCAAACACTAAACCCCTAAATCCTACACCCCCAAAATCCCTATAATTTATAGAACCCCTATAGATCCCTTTAAGGAGCCCTCATGGATCCTTTTAAAGTCCAAACTAACTTCCTTTGTGCTTTGATTCCCCTCGCCTCCGCCTCGTGGGCGGTCTCGCTAGCCGGAGGTGGCTGCCTCGTGGCCGTCACGCAGGTAAACCGAAAGGGTCCTAAGTACCTACAAGAGGTTCTTTTAAATGCTCCTTGTTAGGCTTCTTTTTTAAAGTTGCTGTACTTTCCGAGTATAGAGCCACAACAAGTAACTAATCACTTGGGACCCTGTGGGAAGGACTACAGATTCTGGAGTGTGAGACATCGGGATGGCCCGAAAATCGGGAATGACACTTTCATTTCGAACCCGCGTTACCTGAAACAACCTAATGCTGATATGAGGGAACCTGAAAGACCCACCTATGTGTTTGACCGCTGTTGATGTTTGTTATTCTAGCAGGTTTACTGCTATCGACAAAGAAACCGACGTTGTTGTTATTTTAGTCTGCTCGCTTTAGGAGACAAATCACCGTGTCAGCAAAAAATCGCCCTGACCTCCAAACAGGAAGTACCTCGAATCGAACGAGGCCACGTGTCCATGGGTTCTAAACGCTACACCCAAACTGCATTCGCCGCCGCATGAGAAGCATAGAGTTTAGGGTTTCGGGTTCAGGGTATAGGGCTTGAAAGGTTTGCAGGGCTTCGGTCGCATATTATAAACAAGCAGACGAAGCTACATGGGGAGCTGCCGTCAAGCAAATGAAGTCCCAACACTCCACTCGAAATCTCGCATCCAAGGTTTCAGTTTAGTCAACACCATCAGAAGCCCCACACCCTTGCATCGTGTTCACACTGAACATCCCACACTTTAAAACCCCAACCCTTTGCTTCTTGGCGGCTCTGGTGATGGTTTCGGGGGCTCCGGCACAGGACTCTGCCCGCCTGAAGGCAGGGAAAACACAAGCGGTCCTAGGAATCATGCAGCCCAGCAGATCAGTGACTACACAGAAACTTTAGCAAGCATCCTTGGTAAAGGGCAGCGGGTAGCACATGCTGCTTGAGAGTGACAGGAATCCAGAATAGCTACGATAAAGGGGATTGATATTGGTTAAGCCTGCAATGTTACCATGCCCGCATTCCATGTTCTTTTCTTTTAGAGACGGTGGAACAAGGAATTTAAGCCCGAATTGCGGTGGGCCCTGAAAACACCATGATGCCTTTTCAAGAGTGTGCAGTCCCCAAACGCCGAAGGTACAAGGCTTCCAAGAGATCCCAATACCCCTTATTTAAGGAATATACGTTAAACCATAGTATCAGTAATATTAAGGCCCCTATATAGTTTAAGGTATATTCCTTAATTGATGGGTAGTGGGTTCTCTGGGTGCCCGAGTCACCCTCGCGAGTCCCAAGCCTGTATAGGGCCGTTAAAATAAAGAACCTTTCTCGAGCAATCCCGCCTGAACCCCACAAGCCCTAAGCCAAGCGCTTTCTGAAAAAACGAATATAGGAGCGTAAATAATTACAAACATTATTTTGCGGGGTTCCGTATTATGATTATTATATACCCCAAAACCCTACAGTAATTCTCAGCCTCTTTCCACTGGTGGCGTGTCGACGGCTTCGTCGGCATCCAAGCGAAAGAACTGAGGTCCAGGACCCTGCCGAGGAGCTTAATAGGATTCTAATTACAGTATATACTAGTTGAGGGTTTTTGGTTTGAGCACCTTGTTCCGCCTAGCAGTCAATTCGGCGAAAATCCACAGTTGTAGTTGAGGGTTTATGGTTTAAGGTTTAGGGACTAGATTACGTTTGGAATTTGGAATCTACAGTAAGGGTTTGAACAGAATTTCAATGTTTGGGGTTTTTCTTTATATACTAGATGGCGTTTGGAAGTTATAGTAGGAATTTGGATGGAATATCAAACTTTGCTGTAGGGTTTTGGCTTATTTGTTACCGGCTTAGTGAGCTTTTATGGCTCCCCTGGTGCATGTGGGTCGTGGGCGAAAGAGCCTAGTGTTGGCCCACGAGGTTTGTCAGGCTTGCAGGATTTTCAGGTATAGGGTTTTAGAGTTCGTTCAACGAATACTGATCTGATTTCAACGCAAAATCTGAACCCCTGCTTCAACAACTTTCAGGCGGCTTGCTTCTGAGAAATGATTTGTTATAGGACTTTTCCATACCCAGCGGGTCTTGCGATATTTTCGTAGCTTTCCGTCGGTCTGTTTCAACCTCAAGCCTACCACCCTTGTCTTTACCACCGAAGGCCCGACATGCCAGATTCAGTCTTTTGGCTGGGAGGTTTGCTTTGGGGGCATCCGAGATTAAGGTGCCCAAAACGGACTCGCACCCTGGGCAAAAACCAGAATCTTAGGGGTGTAGGGTTTAAGGAAACACTGAAGCCCTCGACACCACCGAAGACGTAAGCCACAGACCCTGCTCGGCAACATCGGCTTTTGAACTTCGGAGCGCCAGGTTCTGTGACGTGCATCCCGGCTGGGAGCAGGGGCATGCATGCGCGCATGAACGTCAGCTCCCCTACCCATCTTTCAAACCCAATACAGGCCCTTGTTGTCAGAACCCACTTACAGACAAGAACAGGTACTGCAATCACGGATAAGAAGGACTAACAGCAAATAAGCACACAGCGGCGCATGCCGCCTGAGCATGAGGTTGAAGTTGGTGGGACTCGTGGTTTCCACCCCCGGTAGCTTGGACGCAGCAGTCACGGTCAAAAGATCTTCAATAGCCTCCCATACTGCCGGAGACGACGACCCCATGCCGGCCGCTCATAAAGTTCCGGTTTAAGCAACACAGGCCATGCCAACATGCGAACTCGACCAGCTGTCTTGTCAAAATGTTTGGAATACTTCTCCTTTTTGTGGGTTGGTAAGTGTTCCATGTCACTTACCAGTGCAGCTCCAAAAGCCTTAGAAGTCCGCCAATGCTGCAACTCCCGCAGGACCAACAGCGCGAGGGCAAAAGACTCTTCGTGGTCATTGGGGATGGTTGCCGTCGGGAATGAATAAAGTTGCGCAGTTCGCCACACGATAGCCTCGAGTAAAAGCCCCTTTATGCAGACTCCAAAAGGCTTAGACTTGATGAAGATCGTTGCGAGTTTCGCTGCTGGGACAGCGTTGAAGAAGGAGCCGATGATCCCAGCGTTCTTGCGGAAATCAGGCCCTCCACGCAGCTTCGGAAATCTCTCGGGTTCATCTCGTCGAAGAACCAGGTCGACTTTCAGCTGTGTCAATCCCTGTGGGAAAGATATACCAGGGATGCTGAACTTGATGGCCACAGGCCCTAGCCGAGGATTCCGGACGAAGGGCAGCTTTCTGATTTCTGCCACCACTCTTTTTCTGTCAGATTCCGTGAAGCCCACATGGGACCGCCTGGGGGAGCCCGTAGCATCCAAACCCGAAGACCTAGCCCGGCCCGGGACTCTGCCAGTAGAGATTGCTTATTATAAGTAGTTATAGTATAGTATACCCCCCAAACCCTATTCTGATTATTAAGGCCCCTACAGTATTGGGAAAAGGGTGTTGGGCTCTCAAAGCGTGCGGTTTTACGGGGTTGCGGTTCTACTGCGAGGGATCCAGGAATGTCGCAAGTTAAATATTAACGGAGTGCGGGTATAAGCCCCACAGGTAATAAGCCTAAATACTTACCAAGCCTTCCGGTCTTGGAAATAGACAACACAAAACTTTCTCAAGGGCTTCATATATGTCGGGGTCCAACATCTTGTAAAAAAAACAACAAGCATAGCTTTGGGTTGCCTTGGAAAGATTCAGCTGATTTAGGGTTGAGGATTTAGGGCCTTGCAAGCTGAAACTATCGTCCAGAATCCCCGGTCCCAACGTCCTGCACTTGACCACTTGGGGGGGGGGTCTTAATTTGCGGCCATGCCGAAATTTCTATTTCTGAATCGAAGCCACTTGGTGGAGGGATCTCTTGAGACGAGGATGTCCCAGTCGCTCGCTCCCGCTGAGAACGTCCCATGCTTGATGGAACCAATGTCATGCAATACGATATCCTTGGCAAAGTCTGTTTGGCGCTACGGTTACGAGGTTGAAATCTAGACAACACCCGCAACTACAGTAATTACCCTTCATCAGGGGGCCCCCTGGGGGACCTGCCATTCGAGACACGACAATAGGTCCCTCAGTAGAAGACCCAGTCGACCATAATATCACTTCAGGGCACGACTGAACTCAAAGTGGGCGCCGTGCCGTAGGCCGAAACCTCCTCTTTCGTGCATGCGTATCTAGCCATACGGCCAAACAAGCTACAGGCTCCGGTTGTCTTATGATGGTTCACGGCCAGTTAAGGTTAGATTATTTCGGCTGGGCATCGCTTCCCAGAGCAGTGCTGCAAGCAGCTATCAGTTGCTTCCTGACGTGGTGCTGGATGGGTGGGGGCTTGCCAACGAAGTCCACAATCTCAACGAAGCGGTCGCGCAATGTCTGGAAATCCTAGAATTTAGGGTCCTAGGCTTTGAAGGGCTTAGGGCTGTAACACTGTAAGGAGTCTAAAGGGTTTGCCCGCGCTTAGGGTGTAGATTTAACTCCGTCCTGGCTCGAAACGCTTTCTCCTGTGAGGTCTTTCCACACGTCCGACACGACGGCACGAGGACTGTATCCAGGATATCCAGGAACCAGAACCGCACTTGACCAATTCCGGTTCCAGGAGAGACACGAGAGTGCGACCTTGGCAGATGCCCTACGAAATTACGGCAGAGCTTCTTGTCTGACGCAAACCCAAACCCAACCTTAACTGTAGCCTGATGTGGCACCGCCGGAACAGCCCAGGCTGTGTTGAGATCATGATACCTTCAAATCCTCATGCAGTATTTAGAAACCTCTGAGAGTTGCGGGGTTACAAGCAAGAGTGCTGCTGCATTACAACGACCTTCGCACCTTCCATCAAGTAGAATCCGCTTTTCGTGTGGGGCCCTATCGGAGTATATTATCATGATAGACACCCCCATACGGGATGCATAAGGCCACGCACAAGTATAGTTACAAGCGGCTACGGCGCAGCGGCCCAGCCCAAGAACAAAGGCGCGACGTTGCGCCTGCTTCCTGAATGCCATTGCGACTGAAACCCTGCTGCCGGATGGGGGCACGGGAAATCCGGGTCGGTTTGAAGTCAAGACGAGGACAGCCACCAAATTAGCAACTCATGGCTTGGCTTCTCTGGTGGTGACTTTGCACCGAAAGAGCCTTGGTGCCAGAGGACCAGATGTGAGAATTTGGGGTTGAGGGCTTAGGGCATTCTGGTCTGGTTCCATGCGGTGTGCTGTTCTTCACGATCAAGCTCCCGCCGGATGCTGGAACCCTAGGTCTTGTAAACACTAAACCTTATAAGCCCTAAACCGTAAATATGCAGGCATGGCAGGTGCGACGAATACCGTATTCAGATTCTGGAAGCTCCAATACCAAAAACTGAAGCCTGAACCACTGCCTTCTAATTATCCCCTATCGTACTCGACCCCACGCCCTACCCCGAAACATGAATTCTTGCACCGACGACCTCTCAAATCCACAGACACCCAAAACATGTACCATATAAGTGGGGGTATAAGGTTGAGGGCATAAGATTCAGCACCTCTGCGAACCTCAACACTCTTTACCAAAAGGTGGGGCCTGTCGATGCCTATACTTTTCAAGCCAACAGCCTTCAACTCCACTTGAGGCAGAAAGTCGTAAAACAAATCTGGTGAAGCAATAGCCCCGCTACAAGCCTGTAGCCTTTGAAGAATGAAAGAAGCCCTGATCAAATCACGAAGCCCAAGCACCCAGACTCGGCAAGCACATATTTTCAGGAATATGCCTTATCATAGTATATAAAATCGTTTTGAATTCCTACAAACCATACAAAAGAAACAGAAGCCCTCATAAATCTCATCCAGCCCCGAAGAAGGCTCGTCGGAAGCTGCCTTCTCGGATTCTGCGGCTCCGTCCCCGGCCTGCCCAAACGAGGCGTTGCTTGAACGAGTGGTTAGGGTTTGCATGGGTCTTTTTTTAGAGGTTCAGTTTAGGGTTTAAGTGTTTTTGTTTTTTAAGGTTTAGGGGTTCAGGAGGGTTTGGTGTTTAGGGGTTTCGGCGATCACACTCGGTTTAGGAGCTTACGCTCTCGCAACTCGGACAAGCCAGGCGAGGAACCATACGGGTTTAGGGGTTTAGGGGGTGTTGGGATTAAAAAAGACTACCCTTCAAACGCCAGCCGTAAGAAGCTCCCTATTCAACGGGACTATATTATTATGCCAAATGTTATTGGGCTTCTATATGCCCTTATAGTATTCTTTACTGTAACCCTTGCAGACCCCCTGAAAAGAACCCTAAGGAAGAAGCTGTATTCTTAAGTGCCTTTAGAATCATAAACATGACATGCTCAATAACCCGTTGGAGCATTGAACAATAGAAGAGGATTCCAAGAACACTTTTTGCATCCAGCCTGCAAAGCCTCTGCTGGGAAGTAAATGAGAACCTAAAGCAAACCTTCAAGTCTGCCGTGCCACTCATCAGGTACGGCTCCAAGAACACTAAAGTAAAAGCCAGAAAGTTGGAATATGACTATCCTCAACCCTTTATGGTAAATCATAAGGTATCCTACCCTGAAACCATATTCCAACTTTCTGGAGTTCCCTTTAAAGTTCTATCCCCGGCGTCCCCGCCACGGCCTTGAGAAGCTCAGCCAGCTCTGGCTTGCTGCAAAAGTCCTGAGCGAAGGGCTTTACTTGGAAGGGCTCGGCAAAATTTGCGGCTTAGTTCAAGGTTTCAATTTAGGGCCTGGGCCGTTTAAAAAGCCCTTTATGGGCTCCGAAAGTGCCCCACAGTTTGTGGCAGAGTTTGCTCGGGACCTGTACATAAGTTCTATAAACCAAGCTTACGAAAGCTCTGTAAGTGGATCACGGCTTACTTAATTTTTGCCTCCCGCACGGCTTACTTAATGGATCAGACGGGTGCGCCCATGCCTAGAATGCCGTCTGCGGATGGCGCGAAACTGTCGCGGAAAGTTTACAGGGCACCATTTAACTCCTACTACATCAATAACAAGCTTAGTGTAGTTATCGACTAAGTACAGTGAACTTAGATCAACCACTGCACACAAAGTACACCGCTGAATTATTCAGTTCTGTCTCGTTTCTGTATGTATGTGATGTATAAGTTTATGTACACAAAACTGTGTACATGTGTGTATGTGTGTGTATGTATGTATGTATGTATGTATGTATACTTATGCATACATATGTACACTGTTGTGTGTACATAAACAAATATATATATATATATATATATATCAATATATATATATATATATATATATATATATATTTACTTACTGGCTGAAAGGCCCGGGCGATAAAAGTTGAAACTTTTATACCGGAAACTAAGCATCTACAGCACATCATGGCGACGTCCAACACTTCTTTCCACGCATCACTTGCTCGATTCCAGGTGAGAATGATGTTGTGTTGTGGCTTCGATGCTTCAGGCTTTAGCTTGTGATTTGTCAGGCGATGTTGTGTTGTGGCTTCGATGCTTCAGGCTTCGGCACTCACTCTGCCGCCGGGGTCAAACCTCAGCGGTCGGAAGGCGCCGAAGCAAAGCAGGACAGTGGCAAAGCCGATGCAAGCACAACTTCTCAGACAGATCTGCGACGGCACTTTTTGGTCTCCCCGGCTCCACCCCAAACTCATCAGTCATCTACAAAGCGAGTTTCCGTGGAAACAGCCGAGATCACATAGAAAGCTATGTTTTGAGGATAATTGTGTCGCGACTGCAAGATGGATATCAGACGTCGTGAAATTCAGACTGTTTCACTTAAGGAAACATCCCCGAGGCGCTCAAGGCAGCCCCACCCCTGGCTTTCAGGCCGTGTAGTAGGCAGAGCACGACTGCCTAGGATTCATTCAGAAAGAGAGCAAGAAGGGAACCCACAGCAAAGGGACAGCAGTGCGACTCGGCGGCATTGCTGTCGCAGCAAACCACACATCTTTGGTACCTAGGATCACTGAGAACGTAAGGGCAGGAATCAAGAGAAATAACAATTGCAGCAAGGTTCCTGACGAATCAGTCGGAGCCGGTGCACGCCGACCACTTGTCAAGCACTCGATGGCTGTGTGGAAGTGCCTGACCAAGACAAGTATCAAGTTAGATTGGACAAGATGAAAATATGGCCTTGGCATCGTTGCTCAGTCGTTCAGGCAGCATCGGGCGGTATCAGGTGTCAGTCCACTTCGTGCCTGAGTAGAGAACTGCATGTACATGTGCAAAGTCATGACCTATAGCTTGTGTGCGAATACCAACGAAAAAAGAGCCGTGTTGCTGGCAGCGATGAACTCCGCCACTGTCATCAGACAGCCCGGATGCCTCTGCTTCTTCTTCCTGTACTTCTCAGCCGTCTCACCGTCGACTATGACAGAACACTTCTTGCAGGTAACATCTCGCCATCTCTTGCGACGTGTCCATGAAATTGTAATGTCAGCCCTCTCCGCGGCATCGAGAACAGCACCCAGCATCCGAGTGGCGGGCAAAGCAGAGTCGTCAGACATACAGGAGCTATGCAAGCACAGCTCCTGTGTCGTCGTCAAGCTGCTTTTCAGGCATGTCAAGGCTGGCAAGAGACGGCCCTCATCCATGCATGCCTGCACCCATTGTCGACCGCAAAAACCGCCTCCCAAGTGGCGAGCAACAGCCGAGAAAGCACTCTCAGACGGCTTGAAGATGAAGTCACGCTCGACCTCGTCAGACAAGCAGACCCAGTAGAGGAGTCGATGACTGCCGCAGTCCTCAGATGTATGACGAAGCAGATCGTAAACCAAATTTCTTTGGTCTTCGATCGACTCAGGCCAAGCACGAGCATTGCCCAGTCGTTCAAGATCAGGCAGGCCCGGTGTCTTGCTGGAGTCATGGCCATGCACCACCATGATCAAACGGTCGCGGTCGGCCGCAAGGACATCAGACCGCACGGCTGAAAGTCTGGCCACGCCGATCTTCTTCAGCTTCTCGAAGCGTTTTTCAGCCTCCCGCTCTTTTTCTATCAGGCGGCCAGCAGCGGCTGCTTCGGACGAAGCATCAAGTGTCGCCCATTCCTCCTTCTTGGTCTTGTACTTTTCCAGGGCGGCAGTCAGGCTAACTTGCTTGTCAGTCCTGCGACGTTTGGCTGATTCGCCGGCTTCAGCCTCCAAAGTAGCGAGGTCTTCAGGCTGAGACTCCGCCGGCGCCTGTTGCAAGAGTTGCTGCTGCTCCAGCCCTCGCTGTCGCTTCAAGCCAGCTCTTGAAAGCGGGTTCAGGCGGCCGTTCAGAACCCGACGACCCAGTGAGCTGCGGCATCCTTGCGAGCCGCCGCTCGGAGCAAACAGGCGACGGTATTCTTGCAGCAGTTTCAGGCACGGCTTTCTCGGGAGGATGCTGTGGGGCTCGCGACAGACGAGTTGGTCGGCTGTCGGCCCGTCGAGGCGGACCTTCATTAATGACCTGGCACTTCGACAGAGACTGAGAGCAGAAGATTTTCAAATTTCTGGTCCCATGCAGGACGACAAGATGGACTTGACATGAGCCGAGTTGCCGAAGGTGTCCCCGCGAAGTCTTGCCCTTTCTCCCCTCCGAGAACTGCTGCAGCCAGCTGAAATTCTGCTCAATCTCGCCGGTGCTCGGGAAGCAACTCAGGACGAGGGCAGCCTCAGGACAGAATGGCTTTCGTCGTCTCACGTTTAATCCCACAGCTCAAAGACACTGAGCTAGGCAGGTAAGGAGCCGCTTCAGACAAAGCCGGGAGTTTGTCAGACCAATGCCGCATGGTCCTGGACCAGATCTCATTCAAATCCTCGCCTCCGGTCCTCAGTCATGCACTGTTCGTCTTGGAGTGAAGGGCCTCCGAAGAAAAGACTTGTCGCCGGGAGGCTGTGACTTCACCAGCAAGGCTGTAGGACGTGCCAAGAGGAACTCTTTGGCCAGCTGTGTCACCTGAGCGGTTGAACATCACAGCCTCGGTCCCGCTGAAGCGGTGTGGGCTCCAGACCTCCACTTGTGCAGCCTCTGCTAGCGGCTTGAAGATGTCAGGCCTCGGCATCGGATGTTAGTAGCGGTGATTATTACAGGAGCAGAATCGCACAGAAGATCATGGATCCTGTGGCTCTGGCAAAGCTTCGTCGCTGCACAGGGTATGGTTGACATCAAACGGAGAAAGCGATGCCTGGACGCCAACCTCCACATCGGCTTTCAGGCCTTGAACAAAAAGCTGAGCGATGTTGCGAATGGCACCGAGTTCTTTGGCCACGAAGGAACGTATCTTGTTCCTGTTGGCGCCGCTGTGCCAGAAGATCATCTTTTGCTTTACAACCAGGCACTTGTTCTGCTCAAGCTTTAGAGTCGCCTGCAGTCTTTGCACGTAGCCATGTGCATAGGCATCATCCAGAACCAGCGGCTGCTGCAGCTCTCCTGCCGGACTCCGAAAGTCGAAGAGTCGATTGATCAGACGCTCGAGCTGCTGAAGATTGTGGGCTGTCGCAGCCAATCGCAGATGTTGGCCGTCCAGTGAGTGGTTGAATTTCCTTGGATCTCTTGCCAGAGAAGACTTGCAAACAAGACTGATTCCTGCAGTCGCGGCTCGCAGCGGCACAGGCAAGCTCCGCGATCAAGCCAAGTTGGAGGAGCTTCTCCGGCTGAAAGCATTGTTGAAGAAGCTTAGTGGCCCAACCTCAGACAGCACAGACAAAAACATCGGCTAAGCAAAGGCCTCGCCATCCACGGGGACTCATGAACGAGCACGATCAGTTGAGTGGCCTGACAGTGCATCATCCACCGCTGCGAGATGGCTCAGGACATTGCAGACCGCATCTATGTTCTCAGCCACGTTGACGCAAGCATCGCAGACGGTGTTGAAACGTTGGGGTGCAAAGCCGAAGTGGCACAATCGCCTCAGGCTTTCGTCCACACCCTCAAGCTGCTTCTCTGCCGTCAGCCGCTGGAGCTTCAGCGAGTTTCGCACAGCCCTGCAAAATCCTCCTGGATTTTTCCCACTGCCATCGGAAAATCCAAGCACCCAGCTCTGGAGAAGACCCTGCACATCCGGGTCAGACGACAAGGCCTTTTCGAGCGACCTTTGTCCACTATGGACGGAGCATCTCATAATCGCCTTCAATCCCGGCAGGGTTCCCTGGACCTCATGTGAAGGTGCGGTCCTTCAAACATTCAATATGCTGTTCTTGAAATCCGCAGAAACTGCAAGCGAGGCACTTTACTCAGCCGTGCCGCCAGAGGCTCGCTAAATTCCCCGTCGGCCATAAAGATGCGGATCTTGTCTTTGAAAGCATTCCGGAGGGCTTCCTCCGGCAAGAAGCTGGCCAGGGTGTCAGGCAGCGATCTGGCTTTCTCCAGTGCGGCCTCGGCTGGCAGGGCTACTGTACTGGAACCCGATCTGCCCTGGCTCACGTGCTGCCCAGCCTTCTCAGCCGTGGCCAGGTCTAGCATGCGGCAATGAACGGACCAGTCGGCCATGACGTACCGCACCTTCAAAAGCTCGAAGCCGCCTCTTGCATCCTGCAACACACGACGCACTGAAAACCGGCATGGATACTACTCTTGGCATTCGGCTCCTCAGCCAAGGCCACTGCCCGAACGGGTTGCTGCAGGCGACGGCGGTCCACGTTGAAGGCGGCCTCAGCCGCAGCCTCCATGATGTTGTAAAACATTCCTCGGGACGAACGCCCCGTTG